ATTTAAAAGGCATGCCCTCCTTTACAACTGTAAAAACACACTATAATGGCTCACCATATGTAACCTTGATTTGGATGTATTTTTAAGTATTCTAATCTATCTTTTCTTTTTTGGTTTTTTGATGAAAAACCCAGTATCCTTAGTTTCTTTTATCTGTCTTTTTCTTGCAATGACAGCTATGTGGGTCTGTTCTCATCATACTAGGGGAAATTTTCCAACAAAGCTGAAGGAGAAAATGATGACAAGTTTATCATATCTCTCCTTTCCTTGTCAACGTGAATTTTAGTCCAGAGTCATTGCTCATACATTTCTGTTCCTGTCTCAGGCATTAAGTGGTGGGCAATTCAAGCATGTCATTGGAAGGCCCATCTACAAAGGAGAGAAAGAAGACTACATCTCAATGGCATTCCTTTACTCTCCTCCAGCTCCAAGCATCAGCAGCAGGATTGACCAACAAAAGGGAAAAACTATTTCACTTAGTCAGCAGGCCATTGCTGCAATACTTTTGACTCTTGTATACCGTATTTTAGTCTATGTTTACAACAAATTCTAATGTTGTCAAGGATCATCCATCAAGCAATGAAAAGTTACACATCTTGATACTCCTGCTCATAAATCTTATACATCTAATTATTTTAAATCTTATTTAAATCAATGAAATATTGTCAGGCATGGGATGATTTTTTATTTCATAAATCATGGGCAACTTCTTAAGTATATTCAATGGCCTTGTTGAAAAAAGAAAATCTTTTGTAATACAAGCAAGGCACACATTTGAAAAGAAGCAAGCCCATGAATACGACTCACAGAATTGTGTTAATAGCCAGCCCGTCAAGGCTAGAGAGAAGGCCCAAGAACAAGGGGCTGGGCCAGTTTGAAACTCGCGGAAGAGATTCATTGAAACCTATGACTCTCTTTACGTTACTTAAACCTCGCAAAGCCGAAGTCCAAAGTCACTTTCAAAGGGAATTCTGCGTCTGTATGTTGGCAAAGATTTCAGATTTTGGTCAGTCATGGATGACAAAGATTCATGGGATTCCGTCTCTGAATTCACACTCGCTGAGGTGAACACTTCCCTTTCTCTATTTTCCCCATTTTCCCTCCTTTTGGCTCTTCATTTTCACTTCTTTTTAAGCCTTAACCACCATGAATTCCATCTCTTTAAAGCTGTAGCTTAATGTGTTTTTTTTTTTTTTTCAAGTTGATAAACGTATAAATGGAACAGCTTGCTCTGTTGGCATTTCCCTTCTATATATGGGTCTTGATACTCACTCTTTAATCTGCAAAAGTTCCTCAGGTTTAGCCAATTATCATTGCTTTTACATAACTTTTTAAGTATTAATGTTTTTTCCTTTCTTTGTGACAAAAAGATTTTGGAAATGGAGAACATTTACAAGGAAATAGGAGAAGAAACACTTAATAAAGAATTCTGCCAAGAGCTTGCTACCAACTTCAGGTGAGGAAAAACAATTACCATTCCCAAATATGCTAATTATATGCTTTTGTCTAAAGATTCTTCATCTATTTTCTTTTAAATTGTAATTTTCAATATCTTTACTTTGGATTGCTTTGTCCTTCCAGCTGCTCTTCCAACCGTATGGGAAAATCTGCTGTAACATGGCAACAAGTTTGTTTTATTCATCTATTGAAGTATACCTACGGATTTCTAATAAGTCAATATGGACATTCATAACTCTTTGTCTTTTTAATTTTTTTAGGTCCAAATTTGGTTCCAAGAAAAACAAATGGAGACACAAAGTAAACAAGGGCCATCACCAATGGCCTTGGAGCTATTTGTTGATCTTTCAAGTGTAAATTCAAGCAAACCATCTGAGAGCTTGCGGAGGCACAAAGGTTTGCTCATTGGCATCATAGTTTACATTTTTAGGCTATTTATTGGTAATATCTTATACTTATTGGGGAATTGTTATTTGATACATACAATGTGGCGAAGCTTGTTTAGTACTTTCTACATTAACCTAATATGTCCCTTTTATAAAGTTTGAAGTTTTTGTATGTGCTAAAATATTGTAACCATCAGGGTGAAGAAGAAAACAAAAATTATTCATACAGCATGACATCACGAAACTTATCATCGGGGTAACATTAGCTTATAGCTGATTTAAAGATTAAAACATGCACATAAAGCAATGGAATGGGTGTCTGATAGTTTAACCCTTATCATTTGACTGCAACCTAATTTGGTGTATATTAGGTCAACCTGCTAATTTACGAGCACATAACGGTCTACCACAGTGCATTGGCTTGGGAGTGCAGCTGTGTTAATGTCCTTGTGTCAACCTCCATTAGAAACAGATATTTTTCTTACTAGGAATGCCTACAAAGCCTTCTATAGGTCTTAAATAGCATCACTCCTCTAACAATCTGACCATTATGCTACTGTTGTTTTACCAAGCAACCATACTAGGTGGTTCACTTTAAAGGCGTAGTTAGCATATACTGCATTTATACTTGCAGCTACGATATCGATATCATGATTAGCCTGCATTCTTATTGGAAGCATTTTAGCAAACTTGCAATCGTAGTTCAACCTTATTTTTTCTGGTTGAAATTGAATTGAAAGGATTTTTAATATCAATTTTAACAGGTAAGGTTGAAGATCTTAAGGAGTTGTCATTTGAAGCCAGATCATCAAAAGATTATGCATGGTGAGAAAGTTTCTATTAATGAAAGCATGCAAAACTTTTTGAAATGTTTTTCCTGTATCCCTTGAAGAAGCCATTTATAGGCCTACGTCTTGGTTATATCTTTAATTTTATTATTGATTAGAAACTCCAGGTTTAGATTTGATTTTGGCTAACTAATTTATTCAAGAGCGCTAAGATGATGTGCAAAATAGGATAATAATCAAACATCCATTATAAGATGAAGTTGTTTAGAATGACGGATAAGGATGGTAAGCTTAATCTGTTGGATGCATTAAAAGGAAACTCGGAAAGCTGGAAATAGTATAGAAAAATGTGACTAAAATAGCTTAAACTTATGGACCAGAGACAATCTAGTTCAAGTTTCAATGATTTTCAAGATTCTTAATTGGCCTTGGTATTCTAAAATGTTGGTTGGTACTAAAGGCATTATAATTCAATTAAGTTTATATTATATTGTAATTATTATGTAACCTGTAGTTATTTTAAAAAATTTTTTATATAAAAAAATAGCTGGTGAAAAGAGAAATCAAAATCCAAATATATGACCTGTTAGAGATAAAGCATGCATTAATGTTATCTTTAGTTTTATACTATGTATTTTGCTTCATTGTACTGGTTATTAAGTATATTATACCAGTTGACATGGGGTGTCTTTGTGCATGTTCAGGTTAATAACACTTGTCCTTATTGTAAACAAGTGTTAACCATATGATGCTTGTATATATTTTGAGTTTTCTGACTAATGAAGTATCTTCCTCTCCGTCTACTGCTCTGTTTTTCTTCTTTCTCTCCACACACAGTCAACACCATTGTTTTATCATTTTCTTTTACTTTCATATCATGACCTTGTTGTAAACTGTGTATGGTCCTTCTGACTTAAACTAGTGTGCATAGCTATAACATTTCTTTGGCTTTCAGGTACGATGTTGACTCGTTCCTCACCTATAGAGTCCTTAGTACTGGTGAACTTGTAAGATTCTTCTACAGATTCTGTTCTTTTTTTACTCACTGCAATGATTCTTGTAAAAGCTACTTGCGTATGAAATCTTTTCATCTTATGATATAAAGTTCAGGTTCCTGTGCCTTATTGTGCTTATTTAACCTTTTTCTCCAATTGGTTTCATTGATACTGGTTATGTAAACTATACGACGGAAAGTGCAAGTGACATGTTAAAACATATAAATTGTTATGTGGTAGGAAGTGCGTGTACGATTCTCTGGGTTCGCTAAAACAGAGGATGAGTGGGTAAATGTGGAAAAGGCAGTTCGTGAACGATCTATTCCTTTAGAACCTTCGGAATGCAATATGGTTAAAATTGGAGACCTTGTGCTTTGCTACCAGGTATTTCCTTATTCTAAGGTCTATTAAAAATATTCGTGAGCTGTGTGTCACCACCTGATTGGAATAATGATGAATCTTATGTCAAAGCAGACACAAAAGCCTGATGACCTCTTAATACTTCCATGCAACATTCCAGTCTATGTTTTAGGTATTTAAACCGCACAACAGTGAAGTCATGGTGTTTTGCTTTTTGGATCTATATTTATGAACTTCCTAATAAAAATCACCCAGCATTAAGAAGTAATGGAAGAGTGTATCTCACTTAGATTGATGGTGAAGGAACAGTGAGGTGATGGAGAGGACATATGCTTCTCTTTTTAGCTAGGCTAATGGTTTACTTGACCTTATTGTTGTCTTAGCTTTTCGCCTTTGATGATGTATAGGATAGAGAGCATCATCAAGTCTACTATGATGCCCATGTTGTGGACATCCAAAGGCGGGTGCATGACATTAGAGGCTGCAGGTGCATTTTCATGGTCTGCTATGACCATGACTACAGTAAGGTATATATAAACAACATCAATAATCCTCTCCCTCTCTTGTTGCGTGTGTTTATGCATGTGGTGCATGCATCTTGCATGGGTGCAAGTGGCTGCTGGTTTTTGCTGTTTTTGGCAATCCTGAACTGTGTATTAATGTTGGTATATACTTATCTCTCATGCTTACACCAGGAAAAGGTTCCGCTGCAGAGGTTATGTTGCCGGCCTCGGCAATAGGTTTTTTGGGTTCACCATCAAGTAAGGTAGCATTTGGTGTCCTACAATGTAATGTGATTGTTGTAATGCAATTGTTGATAATGTGGTTGTTGAGAAAATAATATTACATCTTTTTGATTTACTAGGAACGTAATATTAATTTTTAGAATTACCCTTATATATATGAAAATGTAAGTTTGATACAATTACATTTTTTATAACTAAATTAGCTAATTAAATTAATTAATTTAAATCAGCTAATTGATTAATTAAATGAGATTTGTATTTTTTATTACTTTATAACTAAATTAGGTAATAAATTAGTTTTAAGTGGGAGAGAAAGATGTTGGACATTTTTACAAATATATATGTATATGAATATATATGAAAAGCTTAAATAAATAAATTTTTATTCACTTTAGAATTATTATTGTTTTCCACTCACTTTTTGTTTTTGTTTTTCCTTCTCACTTGCTGCTATTCATTTTATTTTCAAGATTTTCTAGTTATTTTCATGTAAGGGGGTTACCCCTCGCCAAGTTTAAAAGTATAAAGTGCACGGGGGTCAGAACCGGCCCCTTGATGCTAAACTTGAAAAATGCCACTCGTTTTTGCTACCGAGCTCTGATATCTCAAATTGAACCATGTGGTAGCTATGTTGCTTGTCAGAAGCAAACCAATAAAACCAAAGAGACATTTGCATCTAGCCGAACAAAGTAGGTGTGTATTAATGGAGACTATACAAAGTTAACACACCGACCCATCATTTTGGGCTTTCCGGCGACATCAGCCAGCAGAAGATAAATTCCACACAATGGATGGAATGGAGGGACGCAACATAAAGTTCAACTACAAGTTTCTATACTTTAGTTACAGTTAAATAAAGCCTGTACTGGTCAAAATTTCGCTAAGCCTACCTACACAGAGCAGCAACTTTCCCAGACTGAGGGCTCCAGCTTGTAGAGAGTTTGACAGGCCCACGTCTTCATCGAACGGGGCAGCTCATGAAACTGTTCGTCCATAACAAACCGAAGCTATGTAAAGATTCTTCGCCCACTTCTCCTGCAATACCGTAAAGAAAATTTAGAAACAGACGGTGAAAATTAAGTTTAAAGATAAGCCAAAACCTAGTGAAGCTCATACAATCCACCTTGACATGTGTGCTGGGAAATGCCGAAGTTCTGAGAGTTTCCTGTGTTTCATCCATTGGCTTCCTTCTTGGCACACTAAGAACAAAAGCAGCCTGGTCCCAAGTTGCTGCAGTTGCTGTTATTCGATACCCACAATCCCATCGACGATGGATGCCTTCACTAGGATAAAGGAAGTCAAGCTCAACAACCTGGAATTAATATACAACAACACTTAGTTATATGTGCTTCTTTCACAGACCGTATTAGGATAAAATGCTATTAAAATTGATAAGCACCTGGTCAGAAAATCCAGCACCACGAGACATAACAACTCCCCATCTGCTACCAGAAGTGGCCATTGAGGTAACATGAAAACCCTCTTTCCATTTTTTGTTAATCCACTTAAAAGGAAAGGACTCGCTGACTTTGTATGACTGCTGCGAATACTGAGTACCTGAACACAGTGAATCAAAGGTCAGTAAACAGAACCCAAACAGATTTGACCACAGAAAGCAAATATTGGAACCTTGCATACTAACCCCTTGACATTACTACTAAGGAGCCTCCATTTGTAGCGCCTGCTATTGCACTGATATAATAGTTCTTCTCCCACTGCTCCATTATCCATTCCTTCAAGCACAGCAAAAAACATCAAATTAACCACTTTGCTAGAATCTAAATTTCAAAAGCATCTTTGGAATAAAAAAAGCAGATAACAGAAAATAAAGTAGAACCTATTAAAGCTAAGAATTGCTCCACATCAACAGTCTAAATGCATGTACCTTATGAAGGAAATAGGGTGAGAGTTCATAGACTTGTGAAGAGAATCCAGTGCCAGCATCCATTATAAGGGCCCATAGATTTTGACAGGAAGCTACACTGCTAATAAATAAGCCATCCTCATTTCCTTTCTCAATGTGCTGTGCAAGCCTTCCATCTGCCACATTATAGTGATACCTAGAATCACATGACGAGTTAACTTCCCATCCTCAAATATTCTTTACACTGAAGCAACTTAATCACTAATTAATTTTGCTAATAGAAATGTTGAAAGATTACATAGGCAAACAACGAAATGTGCCAAGGCAAGAAATCAACCAAAAAAGAAAAAGCCAAAAGTCTGGTATGATCAATTAAATAATAAAGCAGCCCCAAAACTGAGAGAACCACAAATAACTTAAGGCATGGTTACCTTTGCTTCATAGGTCTACAAGCATTGTAAACACTAATCCATTGCGTCGCTGGCATGCCCATACGAACCTTCTTCTTCGGTTGTTCATCTTCCTCCTCATCCATTGTCAACCGGCCTCTCTTATGACCAACCTGAAAAATAAGCTGCACAAGAAATATATTGTAAAAAAGTAGAAGTCAGTTATGTCAAACTCTTTTTTTTTTTTTTTGAAAAGAGTTAAGTCAAATTTTGTTTGTAATACTTAACATTTAATAACGTTTAGTACACTCTTACACCCAAAATTACTTTGAAAGCTGAATCAAGGTCAGATACAAGAATAAATCTTATATTGAGAAAGAATAACATGTACCTTCTGCGCGCCTTCTGTGTTAAGTGGGCGGATATCTGGATTTGGACCAACAATCCCGTCAAAGAGAGAAATGTATTTTGCATAATTAGGTTCTTCATCAAACTTCAAGTTGACCACATATTCAACAAACAGTCTAAAAGGATTCGGACAGAAGCAACATAGGGCATCTGGAGATGTTGACATCTTCTTCTTGCAAACAAAGAATCCTTTATTCTCACCCTGTCATCATGTTTAAAAAAACATCAAAAAGAAACTCTTAAAAGATTATATGCATGGCCAAAAGCAAACTAGAATATTCGAGTCAAGAAAGCTGAAACTATAGGAGGACCAACCTGGTATCCTTGCCAAGGCAATCGACCTCGAAGAAGAAAAATAAGTGTATATGCAAGAGATTCTAGATCATCTCTCCTGCTACAAGTTCTCCCTAAATGAGCATGCACACTGGCATAACGGACAGTTCCCCTGACAGACAAAATTTCTCCTTTTAAATAAGATAGTGGAGCAACTTACATTAACATCTTCAGGAATCATAATATAAGCAGTCGTAGTACCTAAAAACATCTGGCCTCTGGTCATATTCAACATGCAAACCAGTTGAACTATCTCGCCACCTAGTTGCTGATTTGCCAAAACAGGTTATCAGTGATGAGATATTGATTTAGCTAGGAGCACTTAACAATATAAATAATATGACTTACAACTTACCTAATCCAAGATCGACAAGAAACAATTTTTTCTCGTCAGGAGTTCCAATAGGACCAAGAAGAAAATTCTCAGGCTTTACATCTCCATGCACATAACTGCCCAAAGCACCATAAAAACTATTAATAAGCTGGAAGAAACCAGATATGATCAAGTTAAGAGCTAAGATTTTTAGCTTTTATAAGACAGATTATACATTAAAAGCAGAGAAAGATTCTCATTGTAAGCTATTCAACAATCCTGGAAAGGGTGGGTGGCGATGCATTTCAGGGCCAACAAAAGGCTAGGGAGCTTGGCAGGGATTGAACTGCTTACCCTCTAGAGTGCATCTTCTCCAATATGGATATTGCTTCAATAGCAATGCAAGCAACCATTTCGATGGACATTCTGTCGTTAAGAGCATAATCAAATTAAGCAATTGAAATGCAAAAAAAGGATAAACTCAACAGCCAGTAAAAGAGTAAAGGATATATCTTAGTTTAGTAGCACTCACGTATGAGAGTTATTATTCCAAACGTCCCACAGACTTGGGCCCAGTATATCCATAACCTGCAAATGGTTTAAATCAGAAACTCATTCAAAACGTGAACACCAAAAGGATGACAGATTAAAGAACAGTACGAAGAAAGGCAATGACTACCATGACTAAACAACACATACCATGACATAATAGTCACCTTGACGGCCCTTATAGTGTACTCGGGGTATACCATGACTGCCACCAAGAGTGCTGTACCAAATACATCAAATATTTGCAAACATAATTAGCAAAAAATAAAAAATATAACAAATTAAGATTTCAACCAGACTTACTTGTAAACTTGCCATTCATATGGCGGTCCGTAGTTACATCCTTTGCTGCTTCTATGCTCAAATTTCAAGGCAACCTGAAATAAAGAGATGATGTAGAGCATTAAGTCCAAATTAAAGAAGATTAAACGCCATGTCTGTTGAAAACAAAAATGAAATAATGCCATACCTCCACAGCCCCAGAACCATTTCTATCATTTGTATTTACAGCCGAAACACGCCGACCTACACACACCTGTCCAAAGCCACCCTTGCCCAACTTCCTATCAATTCTATACACTGGCGAGCCCCCAACCTGAACCTGCAGCAAGGTAAATAAAAAACATCCTTTCAGAAGACATGATGAAACAAAAAATTATTACCATAAATTGTATACCAAAATGTGCACCTAAGAAAAAAATACATCAAATTATCAAAAGCGCAAAGGATAGACCAAATAAGACACAGTAGAAAGTATCAAAAAGGACTTTGACTTTGCTTTTATTAATCTTATTGAGAATATGATCCCAAATAGAGAAAACCAAAAGCAACAATCCCTGTAGTCAACCCCATCCAGTGGGGAAAGGGAAAAATTTTGGTTTTATTAACTTATCAGAGTTGTTAAACTAGAAGATGATAAATTTTTTCTTAAGGACTTAACCAATCAGAAGGTAGCATAACTGAAGTAAAATGTAAACACGGTGATAACGAAGACATTACATCATACAAAACATAAAAGCATTGAGAAACCATAGATGCATCCTAGCTACATATCCCACTTGGAAAGGTAGCACATAACCTTCCATTGACAAGATTATAGGACCAATGGCCATAGATCAAGAAAAACAAAACCAAATAAAAGAAAATCTATTGTATTCAGAGTACACTCAGGCTATGCTGGTAGAAGAAAGTAAAATGGAATAAAAAGAGAGAAGCATGGCACTCCAAGCCCTTCAGAAGATGCCAGAGAAGAAAAGCATGTGCTGTCTCAATATTATTAATGA